AAAGGATATCGCAAAGATAGCAAAATCAAAGAAACTTTGTACCCACTGGCAAACGCCTGAGGCTAAGCTTGTCTACACATAGAAACATTGGGCTGCTGGCTTAAAACGCCCAGTTCTTGCAAAACCGCAGTATTCAGTACGTTTTCACTTCGGTCGACGTCGGCGATCCGTGAGAGACTTTGGACCAGAAAGAATTTTTTGTTTAAAAACGACAGCACCGAATATTCTACTGTATCCTTTAGCAGCGAATCTCTTTCAATATTGCCAAGAATCGATCTCTCGTGTCGGATTAATGCCGAAGCAAAGATCCTGACGATATTTCGTTTCGTTAGTCCACATGGAGCAATAAACGCGATGGCGATGTTTACTTAGCAATGTTGATGTTACGCGATGAAACGTCGCAGTGTCGAAATGGTCCTGAGATGATGGATTTCTGAAACAGAACCACTATCGATTTTCTTAGAAAACAAATGTTGGCTGGAAAATCGATTTTCCTCACTAGAGTTTTCGATCGAACAATTTCTAGTACGGCGATCTCGCAAGAACAAAGGCAGTAGCAAACGGCGAGCGAGCAGTCTGGCAAATCACAACAAAGATCCTCCGATTCTTATCCAGCACAGCCGGAGCGGCCACTTCAAAGCACTACTGATGACGGCGCGACAGCGAACGGAATAAATTACGGTAACAACGCACGAAATACCAGGCCGGTTAGCCTTCGACTGGAGCTTTCAACATCCATCATTCAAGAACACTGTTCATTACTCACGGATCTTCCAGTGTACCGCGCGGCTTTTCCGACTTAGATTCGAAAACGTTTATTTCCAGCTAATTACACCACTCTTGCGCCCAGAGCGATTCTCAAGAGGTGCCAGCATAATGAGCAATACGTTTAAAATCTCTGTTTATCACCCAACTTTACAGAGAACAGATTTGAAAATCATTTTGGTGCTCAGTTCACCGAGTGTTTGCTGGTAGGCGATTCTCAGTGCCAAGATTTTCAGATAAAATTTCCAGCCTTTATCACCCTTCCCATTTTGCTACTTCGATGTTTGGGAACGGAATCTGATTGCCCATCTGACCACCATTGCGCCTGTCTAAAAGGTTAAGTCACTCGTGCGATCGTCCTTCAGTCTCGACTTTTTACAGCTCACTCATTTTTTTGTCGGGAAAACTCTTGAAATATAAACAAGTTTATCAAACCGGAGAAGGTTTGTTTTTGATGAAATCGCAGCTTTTTCGTTTAGTCTTTCTTGTCGGTTCAATGTTTGTATAAGAAAATGCTCTCTTCAGTGGATGACGTCTACGGCGAAATTCGACGGGTCTCACCGTTGTAACAACATTTGCTCCCAGATGCCTGATCTACAAAGCTGACTCAAGAGGTTGATCTCATCTGACTCAGAAATGATCCGTTGATTCATACCAAGCAGCGAACTCATGACATCTGGTGATGGCTGAGCGTTCCTGAATGAACATTGGAAGACATTTAAGAAATGTAAAGACATTTCGAAATCCACGGTCGAAACATCGTCGTTTGCTGCGCTTCAGTCGACTTGCCAGTTCTCACGCTCTTCGCCTTTCAGAATGATTCCTTCACATTTACCAACCGTCAACATTCAATCACGACAACACTGGTGTCGAGATTTGCAGCCAGCTAAAAACAAATTGTTTGTTTGACAAGAAACTTTCACAGGGGTGTTCACAGGAGACGATTTTGGTGGAATGATGCGCAAAGCCGATTAATTGTCGAGGTGAAAGATACTTCGCTTTTCCCTTAAGATTCTTCAGATCGTTTCCGCAACAGGCCATCTTCTGCCGAAAGCCACATCTTCATTTCACCACTTAGCCACCAGCTCATGAGCCTTTTCTTCCATAACGCCAGAAGCTTTTGAGGAATACAAAACGAGTGTTTGCCGGTCAGCCTTCACTGTAAGCAACAAAGGGCTGCTGAAGAAAAGAAAGAAAAGAAAATAGCGAAATCACAACGGGGGCCAGAGAAAGAAAGAATATTACACCCGAATACTGAACACTGGTCAATCGAAAGAACTCCGAGTTACGGAAGAACATCACCGAAGAATTGAAGAATCGAATACCAAACATTTAAAAAACCTCTATTAAGAAGAGATGTTAATAGATCGGGAGAAATAAGTTTCAGGTGATTAACTGGGCGAATGTAACTGGGTATTGTTATGATGACTTCAGTTAATCATATTTTAGAATCGCAACGTACTAGAAACTGTAGCGAATGATCACTGATGGGAAAAATCATCAAAAAAACATCACTTAAGATGTTAGATTGCAAATGGACTGGTTATGCACTTCACCAGAAAATAACAATGCGAAAGAAATAAAATAAACACCTCACTTATTTAGCTTACTGGTGTTCATTGTTGAGACGAAGGGAAAGTGAGATCACCGATGCTTCTGACAGAACATCGAGGTGTTTGATCGGAGCATCGCGCATTCGGCAGGTTTGAATTCTCGTTCAATGATATTAGGCTTTTCCTTACTCTTTACTTTCGCTTAACAACAAATGAATCACTCGACTCGGTTTGTTTTATTAACCGAACCACGTTATTTCCAGACAGTCAGCGTTCACCTGTTCGAGCAACTGAATCTCTCTTTTTCGGGTCAAGAAACATCGTCAATGATAAAAAATATGCGGGAACGGAAGGTCGACAAGTGAGACTGGAGCCACGATAACCTGCTGCCCGTACTTTTTCAATCTTTCACGCGCAGCCCATACGAAAGAGACCATTCTTCGGACTGATACTGGCTGGATCTTCTTCTCCTCACAACAGGCGTGTATTCAGCAGCAACTGCAAACAGACGGGACTGGCGCAGAAATTGGAGCAGCGAAACCGCTGATCACACCAATCACGCTCACAGTTTCGTTACCATTTCACCATTACCAGCGCCGTCCTGGCTCTGACCGAACGTCATCCACGAGGCGGAAGCATGGTTCCAGCGTCGCCGAACCGTGTCTTTAAATTACAGCTTCTCCGTATTCAGCGCGCCATTGCAATCGATTCAACAGAAGATGGCGTCGGCCTTGATCGAGGTTTGCTGCACCGCCCGGCGCGATGTCCGCCGTCGCCAGTGATACGCCCAACACTGCAGAAGCCAAACGAGGCCCGACAAAGAACGGTCTATCTAGCCAAACTAAATTTTCATCACGCTTTTCGATGAAATACGCCGAACAGCCGCAAACTCCGCCTCTTGCGATGGTCAAACACCACCTCCAGAATTTTGATACCTGAGTGGTGCCCTTGCTGAATGTTACTGAGAATATAGCATCTGAGCGCTCTCTCCACAAAACCGTTTCAGCGCATCTTCACGTCTGCCCAGGTTGTTACAGGAACGTTCAGGTCAGCGCCACCCATCTGCTTCAAACCATCCTCATTTGTTCATTTTGCGATACCGATTGCATTCTTTAACGCCATAATTCTGATGTCGCTGTTTCGCAGTTACGATCTGCTCATCAAACAAACGGTTTTGGAAAGCCGAAACTGATATTTGCAGTTCAGTTGCTCATGCCTACCTGGCACTGCGATCCCTTCTGCGATATGTCACTACCCATCAGCTAAATACGAAGAACAGATAAATACTTGCTGCTTTTGAAGATCTTAGCCTATACATCATAAATTTATGCCGAAATTTCACGAATCATCCGTGGGTGACGTTTCATTTTGCTCGAGGGCGATTGAATCGACGATTCACGAGCAACACAGCGGGATCTGAATTTGCTTTCTTAGAAATGATCCAATATATTTTATTTCTTTAAATGTTCTTTTCATCTTCTCCATCAAACGGAGCGCATTTGTGCCGAATCATCGACCAAAGGGAAGAGTCGAAAATGATTTCTGATGTTTATCAAAATATGCGTTGAATCAGCCTGTTTACGCTAAACAAATCGTTAAAGAGCACACATTACCGGCAAGTATTGCCTTCGCAAGAAATCAATAGCGAGTGTCTTATCTGATAATATTGCTCATTTTACAATCATGGCCTTCACAGCCTGCCATTACCTGCACATTCCGTCATGTGCTGCAGTTCAATTTTATGTTAGCGTTATCGAATCGACACATCATTCTTGCTGAGACGCTCACACCATCCATTGCCTAAACATTTAAATCTTCGCATCTCTCTTCTCTGCAGCTAGTTTACTAAACGAGTTTGAGGCGCTTAGATTGGGCGATGCACATGTCTGCTTTCACAACAGCCTGAGGAACTGAGATTTAGTTTGCCTTTACACCACTGAGGAAATGAGACAGCGCGTCTCAGAACGCCTGAACGAAAAGACTTTCGACAGCGCCTACGATGAATGTTCAAACTGGGGTTTTCCGACTACTCATCATCGCTTCAATAAACCGGCGATCAATCTGAAATGATAAAGCAGCCGAAAGCTGAAACAATAGTTTGCTGCCAAATGCCATAATTTCGGCAGCATTTTGGGAAGACGCCTGGTGAACCCGATTTAACGTTCAGCTCGGAGCGTTCCGCCAATAGCTGACACGCAATCAGCACGTCCGCGACAAACACTGAACAAGACATTATAAGAAAATAACTTAAAACTTGGACCAACAGAACTAAAGGCGATTATCGAAATGTTGTTCGAAAAGTCAGCGCCTGGAAAGTTCGTTTTGCCGAAAAACGGCAGGTGATACTTTCAGAGCCTACTAACTTACAGCGCTTGCCAGCCCTCACACTATCCTTTACGGTTCGAGCGGTGCGTTCACGCAGATCGATACGCGCGCCGAAATGGCAAACACAGGTTCAACACCAAGCTTTATCACCGGCATCGTGACTTGATCACGATCAAAGCGAATGAATGAGGCATGATAAACCATTCCAATTCTTCATCAATCTGGTCACTCGATTTCCTCTGATTTTGGAAATAGCTTACGCGAAGATGGGTTCTTACCAGACAAGCGCAGCGATAATGTTTTGGGAATGACGTGGCGATTCGAATGACATCTGATGAAGAGTCGTGAGATGCGTAAAACAAGACGACGTCGGGGTCTCATGGAACAGGAAGAATTCAGAGGTCAATGTTAACATAATATGACAAAGAAGTTTAAACAATGATATGGTTTGATGCTGTTTCAGAATTCTGTTCAAGATTTGCCGTTTAGGTCGCAGTGGCTGGCGGAAAAGGCACCGCAGGCGGACGCATGCTGGCGCAAAAGTGACTGGAGAGAGTCGACACCGCATCCTCCGATCATATGCACGCCTCATCCACCAGGAGATGATTGTTTGTTTCTTTTCTGCGCCCTTCCCTCTTCATGTTTTCTGCGTTACTCTACGGAGAATCCAGAGGCAGTCACAGACCAAGCACCAATGCCGCAAATATTCATTCAGCCGCCTTTAATCAAAGATCACCCTTGAAACTACACTGAACTGTTCCGAGCAACGGTTCGACGTATCGGACAGGCCAAGTACGAGGTCATTGTGCAGATTTGATGATTACCGAAATCGCGATTTGAGCGAACAACACAAACATTTTTTGTATCCGATTTTACGGAAGAGATAATCACAGCACAGTTTCTTTCGGAAAGGACTGTGATGCAGGACTTTCAGCGATAGTCATTCACCATCATCTCCTTCATCCATCCATTTCATCTATTGCACCGGACATCCACCGTTTTTCCTTCTCCCTTCCACTTCTCGACTATCAAAGAGTATCAACGAATTACTTAAAGCATGAAAACAGGTCCACTGAATACGAAAGAATGAGCCGTTACGACGTTTTCATTCACGAAACTCTGTATTTTCCAGCGATCAAAAATAGCGAGGTCGATGATGCCTAAGATGCTACACAGTGAAACGTGTCGGAGCAATGATCGCCTTCATTCTTCCATTGTTGATCACGTACGCCGATTTAGAAATAATGAACGTCAAAAATAACCGAACACGTACCACCATACGAACATCACCACTCTGGAGGAAGCCCAGCAAAGTTGCAACGTTATGCCGGAGAAACCACACCGATGATCTGCCTGGCGATGGGGATACTGACATCGCAAACTTGGTAAGAGGCGGCATTATGCAATTTTCTCATCCATGATTCGAAATACTCGCGCGATTTTGCCGCCGAAATGACAGCGGCGAGCAGCCTAAAATGCTTCGTTACTTGAATATATCACATTCACGATGACAGAGTTTTTGGACTTGTTGTTCAAACATTTTTCCGATTAAATGGATGGCTTACAGATCACGCTTGAACCTGCGTTAACAAACGCGAGTCTCTGGGATGCCACCAATTAAACGTGTCAGCAGGGAGAAAGGCTGCAAAGATCATCAGCATGCCTGCCGACTCACTTTAATACGGCACAGGAATCTGCATTAAACCATCTTTGAAGAAAACCATTGTTACCACACAGCTTTGTACCTGAAATTGGTTTGCACGCCACCGTCAATCCGCCTTCGCTCACCATTTCATCGTCTGCCGTCAAGAGCAGTAAGGGATGATGACGAAAGCAATGAAAATTTCGATGGAGATTTCGAGGAGACGGGGAGATGGTTTATAAAGATATCGAAAGAGAAATGTCGACGCCAGTCCTTCTCCTTCCTCCTCTCTTCACAGATGCCACTTCCTCTGCTTACCGCTTAGCCAGACGCCTTCCTTTGTCTCAATAATACACCATCCATTATTGTTGCCGTTTTCATGTCGGTTTTCCAGGTGAGATAAAGATTGCCGTTTTGATCTGTGGATTTTGCGCGCAGTCAAAACGAGAGCGACAATCAGTTCGTCAATGGAAGTAAAGAAACGATACTCCGCGAAGACAAGATTGCGCTTCTGTCGCCGGCTGGCTCCATCGCAGTCATCGTATAGTACCGAACGCCGCAGATCTACTGCATACGCACGCCTTTGTCCCCTTGCTTCGAATTTTCTGAATAAGATCTGTTCCCACCACAACTTTCTTTAAATCGTTTCAGACCATGGCGAATGAGTTGTTATTGAGTTTCGATTTCAACATAAAGAGATCAACAGAGTATCTCTTCGAATGGAAATCCCATTGTGTAACTGAAACATCGAGGGACCTTTGCTCTTCACCATTCCCTCCAACACCATCACCATCAAATATCCTCGGCGGATTTCGGTGACGATATAAGCGGCTCACAAACCCAGTTCTTCCTTCATCAAATCATTCATTCAGGCCAAAACCACAATCATCACTTAACCGAATACTTCGGCATTACCATAACAGGCCGAACACGCTGGCGTCGGAACAGAAATTTCGTTCATAAACCCTCGACGTGCTGGAAAGATCACCTCATCGGGCGTCGTTTTCAATGGTGACTCTGTTACCTGCGAAACTGCTACAGCGCATTAAAAGATCGGTAAAATAAAAAATAAAGGGAAATGATTTGTGCGAATTTTGGTGAATCGTCGATATCGCATTCAGCTTGACGGCGGTCGTCGACGATCCGATGCTGACATTCTGACCATTTAGTGCTTGACTATATTTATCGGTTATTTTAAAGAGTTTGAACTAGAGTTTGAACATAACCACCAGAAAGAATGATTGACAAATTTTTGATATCTCTGAACACAAAGCAAAGAAATGATCAAAAGTACTTAGCTATACTTAAACTTGATGATAATAAAGCGCATGTGTAATGATTATGAAAGAAAGAAAGGAATTTTAGTGAGGGGATGGAGATTGACAATGGCATTTTCAACCAGGTCGTTTCAGCTGATTGCCGAAAGTTGTTGTTAAAAACAGATCTGTGCAAATTAGGGAATATTAAGGAAAAGACATGTCTTATTGCTGTTCATAGTGAGCAGACAGCGAAACTTCCGAGCTGAGACTGAGGCCGATCTCTGCTCACAGGTATCTCGTGTTTCAGCATTACCAAGATTATTGCATGTTTTATTAAACAGAAGTTACAGAATCGAGCTATGCTATCAAAGACTGAACTTTGCAAGTCAATAAAATCTTTCTTCCCCTTATATCTTTGCCTTCTGATTTTCATTTTGTTTGATTTGCTGGTGATAACCGGCTGTGTCTTTCTGAAAACAAGAGTCGCCTCGGCAAAAAGAAAAGAAGATCTAATCGAGCTTCATCGCCAGCCGCACCAGATCCGGCTTAGGGTGAAGACAAAAAAGAAAGGTTGCCGTATAAGATTTTGAGAGGATTTTCCTCGATATCTGACGCAGTATCGATCGATTCACGAAAATGCACAACGACGGCATTTAAGCGGTTTTTGGCATGGGTTTTTGCGCAGCACATTTCAGATTTTCACCGGGCAACCCGAATTCTATGCCTGTAGTAGGTCCAGTATCTGCCAACTTGAGCAAAGACACCAAAGCGACGCCGCACATGATAATATCCGCCTTTCGGAAAGACAACACCTTCATGATGCAGCTATTCTTTGCCATTCAAACTTTGAGACACCAACGAGGATTGCTACCGTACCAACACAGCCTAGTGATTCAAAAGTGAATGGTCGAACAGGCAGCGCTCGCCAGAGATCGACGTGCCTTTGAGAAAGACGGTGGTCAAAACGATTTTAGACATCACGCTCGGCAGAAAAGATGGTTTTACGATCGATCAGCGAACAAAATACAGATAAACACGGCAGAAGTGACAGCATGCTAGCGAACGGAGTTTGGCAGCTGCGAGACTGAAGTGATATCAATTATGTGCCAGCATCTAATGAAGTCTGACCGGTGGTTTGGACCGTAGCGCGCCGAAAATTCAGCATCGTCGCGCCCAGAGCGTCCTTTCGGATCAGAATTTTCTGTTCTTTCCGATCGCGCGAAGGGGAAGACAATAGAGCGATCAGGCGAAGAAAAAAGCATGAAATTTCCGGGGCACACAAGCCCACGCGCGAAATACCGCTAGCCTACATTCCATTCCCCTTCAAGACATGTCGAACTCCACCGACACTACAGTGCTTAACTCCGAACTCTCCCGGAAGAAACTGACGAATGAAAACGGAAGAGAAAACATCAAAGGTGTCCCGACTACAGAACGAATCACGAAATTCCGCAGGTTTCACAGCGTAATTCCTGCAATACAAACTCAGACTTCAAATCCTAAAAGGGACAAAAGACAAAGAAAATTATTCAGAGCGGTACTGCGCAGTTATCGTGAACACAGCAGTGCTCGCGGAGAAAACGGAAACACCGCAATAGCGAGCGAGAAATCATGCTGTAAGAATTCCTCCACCTGGCCGTTGCCACGTAAATCCGCAGCGGCAATATCGCGTGAGAAGCGACCGTTTTCCTTTCTTCCATTCCTCGACATTTCACCACGGCCTCTTCCGAAATACCAGAGAATTCTCCAGCGAACATCTTGTAGTTTACCCCTGTAAATGTGCACGATTTCACTTCTCTACCACTTAGGTTCTTTCAATCATAAATCGCCATTTTCTTGGC